GATACTCAGTAAAAGTTCTTGGAACTTCAGTAAACATTTAAATAATGTTAGAGATATTTTAAATTTATAACAAATGCAAAGTTATACAGTGTCTCCATAGAAACAGTATAATTTGAGTCTAATTTAAAAAACAAGAAAGCATGCTAGACTAATTTGGTTGACTAGAACTTTTAAAAATTATATCATTTACCTTCTTTCCAAAACATTTGAATCAAACTTAACAATCAGAACTAAAGAATGCTTCCACATGATGAAGTTTAAGGCTTAGATACAGAATGACATGATTCACTTCTAATTAGCACAAAGTAGATCCAGACTGAGTTAAATATATCTTCTGTCATTATATTTATCTTCTCAATTTGCCTTATAATCATTTTTGAGAAAATTCCAAATTACATATGGGTGCAGGCCAGGGAAAATTAGCCTATACATGTCCCAAATGAAATGTGTCCATATAAATGAGATTTTGTTGTATGGTTATCAATCATAGCAAGAGATTTAAAGGATTTAGGAGACATTCAGAACATTGTCTTATTCTCTTTTTGGTTATCAGGTAACCTAATAATCAGAATTTCAGGTAATATGCCAGCCCACTAATGAGTTATAGTTCTAGCATACAACACTCTCAGGAATGTTCTAATTGCCCTTAGAATAGAATACTTTCCTGAGAGCGAAAGTGAGTCACTAATCTCATAGTATTCCATGTTCAGAATAGTCACAGGGTCATGTAGGGATTGGGTTGGGGCCTAAAAGAGTCCTAAGTGACTCACAGTTGTTATCACAATAGTATTACAGATGAGCTTTATGTTGGTCAGAAATGTTCTTCTTGGAAGATCTTTCTTGGGTTTGACATCATCATAAAATCAGAGTGCTATGAACCTGTGGATTATCATTCACTCATGTATTCCACTAAGAGTGTTTGAGACCCCCTACTCTGTTCTAGACACTACTCATAAACCTCCATACTATTTGGTCTTTAATATTTAGATGTTATTACCTCCTCCAGCAAACTCTTCCTAATACTCTCGCCCAAACCACCCCTCCCTTAAGTCATTCTCTTCTATGATCCTGGTAGTATACTCACCATGTGTTTTGTATTGTTGGGGTTAGGTTTTTTTGAAGGATAATTGGCAATTAAAAGTTGTGTATATTCAAGATGCCAACATAATGTTTTTATATAGTATACATTGTGAATAATTACTGCAGCCAATTAACTAACATATCCATCACTTCACATAGTTACGTGTGTGTGTGTGTGAATGTGAGCGTGTGTGTGTGTGTGTGTGTGTGTGTGTGTGTGTGTGTGTAGAATACTTAAGATCTACTCTTTTGGCAAATTTCAGATATACAGTACAGTTTTGGGGGGCATACCCATCCTCCTTAAAAGGACTATAATGTTTTCTTGATACCTATTTTATAATTTCCTTCATAAGAATATAAACACTCAGCTGTCATCAGATTCTCCTTCCCTTTGTCTTGTTTTGTGTGTTTGTGGCCTGTGCAGGATTCCCTGAATTTTCAGACTTGACATATTTGATTTCTATGAATCAATCCTTGTATATTGATTACTCTTCTCCAGTAGAATAATTTCTTCTTTCTCACTAATATTACCAACATTCTCTCCATGACATATGCATTCCTTCTAAATCCAAGATTTCATTGTGAATTGACCTGAGGGGCAGAAAGTGGATTTTATTCATTGTATGCACTTCCCAGAACCCAATAGCTGGCTAGTTGGTCCTTAATTCAATTATGGTTAAAAAAAAGAAGAAGAAGAAGAAGAAGAAACTCTTGTTTTGTCTCAATAAACTTGATGGCAGATAAAGTGAGCAAACTGGCTTTGGTTAAAATGAATTATTTGGCATTTTCTCTAATATAGGCTTCGATTGACATATACAAAATCAGTTATTTTGTTGTTCGCACAACAAACATAAACATTTCTCCAAATAAAATAGTCAACGCTAAAAAATAATTAAGAGCCACAAGAGTTTCTACTAATCGATACAAAGGGAGTATTTACTGAGGCATAGTCACTTTTCAGACACAGACATGGAGAACAAATCAATGTTTGTTGGGGGTTAACACAAAGGAGGGAATCAGATGTAGTTATCAAAAGACAGCATAAGAGGTTCTTGTGGTGATGAAGATATTCTATGTTCTGATTGATACAATTGATGGAAGGAGTAAGAAAATTAAAATTAAGCAAAACAAGTGTTTTTAAAAAAAAATATACTGCCAAGTTGTTAGTGTAAAAGAAACAATATCACACTCATTCCGAAGGTACTCTGACATATTTCTCAGTCCCTGCCATTTGACACAAATGTGTGTGAGCTCACATGAGAGTAAATGAGAGAGAAATGTGCAATGAGAATCTTGAGACAGCAATCAGTGTCTTAATATAAATGCCTACTAATAAATTATTGAGTTCAGTGTATAAGTTTCTTTATGATACTAGTGCCACACTGCTCTGTTGATAACTGATAATACAGTTTAATTTTTTTTCCAGCTAAAATAGTGCTTCCAACTAAAGTCCTTAACTCTTGTTGCTATTATTTGCTATTATTTGACTGATGTTATTGCTATTATTTTGTTGCTATTATTTGATTATAGAATGGAAATTCTCTCAAAGACATGAGGAGTTGTGATAAAGTTGTACTTCCAAATGAAAGGGTAGTTGCTAAAGAATGGAGATGAGACAATCAGGTGGCTGCCTCGGTGCCAGGCTGCATTGGGTGAGACCATGAATCTTACCTTCATTTGTCATGGTGAGAGACTACTCTAAACACTGCGACATGAGCTGAGTGAAACTAGGATGGATAAGATTTCTTGACACCTTGCTTTGCCCATCCCAGTCACATGTGGATAGTAATTAAGCATAAATGCTGCATGCCTAGGCAAGTAAACCCACCAAAATGAAAAGTCTGCTGGTATTGTTCACAATAGCAAGAACCTGGAAGCAACCATGCTGTCCATCAAAAGAGGACTGGATTTTTAAAATGTGGTACATATACATGATGGAATAC